CCCGAGTTAGGTTCCCGCTCCAAGAGTTCAACGTCCCGTTCCGAGACCTCAGTCTCGAAAAAGTCTCGACTGTAAAGGTCTGCGTCGTCCCGAGCAGAAAGGTCACCGAGATCGAAGGGGATCTCGCGTTCGAACAGACCGAGGTCACTTAGGTCTCGTCTATTATACGTCCGTTTAGCACCTTCATAAGAACACGAGGAGTGAAAAAGCTTACGGAGCACTATGACGCTGCTCAGCATGGGCAGCAGCGACAAGCGCAGCAGCAACGAGGATGGAAGCAGCGTATTTCATTATGTCTGTTTTTTTCGTGAGTGGAATAATTGAGTTCAAGGGAAAGATTAAGGAATGGGAGGGGGACAGAGTTGCGTTCAACGAAAACTCGTAAGTGATGGGGGATGAGACCAGCTAGAGAACGTGGATACATCGCCGAAGTTTTTATATCAGAGCGAGGCTGTGTTTTCGCCCACATTGCGCCCATCAAACCGGGTCATGTGCTAGTGAAAGCGCTGCAAGACGCGACGCGTCGGTCTGAGGACTACGTCAAGCCCTCCACCTGAAATAAAGACCTTGATAGTCTTGGATGGGGTTGATATAACGCAAATTTTCCATAGCAACTCTTGTAAAGATGGTTGACTCAAAATGGCACCCACAAACGGGCTACTCATCTCAAGAGATCGGTGTTGTCAAGCCTTCCCATCCTCAGGAATTTGTTTTATCAAAGAAAAACCCGAACATCATCTGGTATCTAATCTCAAACGTCGCTCTCGAACATCTCCTCATCAAAGTCCCGTTCATACAAATCCACCTCAGCAATGTCCCGCTCGAAGACCTTCTCGTCCTAGTCACGCTCGAATGTCCTGCTCGAAGATCTCCTTTTTTTACGCCTTGATGGAGCTTGTCTAACGACACGTAGTCCACACTCAGTCAAGATGAGCTCCAGGCCGTCTTTGACAAGTATACCAAGAATACCGACTCAGCAACAACCATGAGTGTCGACTCGTTCAGCTCTTTCCTCCCATCCCCAGACAACTGCGCCTTTTCGGATCAGCATTCCAAGTTCTTCCATGACATGACGCGCCCGCATCAGAGTACTTCATCTCCTCGTCTCACAACACCTATCTAGTCGGACATCAGCTTATCGGCGATAGCACGATTGAAGGCTACATCCGAGCTCTTTTGCACAGTTGTAGGAGTGTCGAATGTCAGTCTTTTCTTCTGGATCGTCAATTATCATGTTCTAACTGGCTCATATGTTAGTGGACATATTCGACGGCGACCATGAGCCTATGATCTTCCATGGCAAGACACTTACCACCAAGGTGTCCCTCCGGGAAGTCTGCCAGGTGATCAAGAAATATGGGTTTGTCGCCTCGCCTTATCCAATCATTCTGTCCGCGGAAGTTCACTGCTCGGTGGCCCAGCAAGATATGATTGCTGCGATCATGATCGAGGTGTTTGAGGACACTTTGATTCAGGAACCACTAGAGGAGCTGGCGGAGGGGCGGAGGATTGAGGTGCTTCCGAGCCCCGAACAGTTGAAGGGGAAGATATTATTGAAGGTAGGCATTAATACCACGTCTGGCAATTGGAAACCAAAGTTGATTCTCGCATTAGACGAAGAACCTCTTGCTTCAAGGGCCAGATCCTGTTGTGGGCGGTGACGTCTTTTTCTCTGATGTTTCTGCGTCTTCAACATCAGATTCGGAGGCTTGGGTAGACGCAACGCAGGACCCTTCGGCGGTATTTAATGGACGCAAACGGAGGAGTGAATCGGACAGTGTCAAAGGTTGGATTACTCTTACCAAAATAACTGGCTGTACTGACACCTGACGGCAGATCAGCTCCGCAAAGCTCGAAGTACCGTTTTGAAGCGGGTTCAAAGTGTGGGCAAAGCGTCTTCATCGTCCGCCTCTTCGTCCACCACTCCACGACGAGCACGTTCCCCAGCACCATCATCCCCTCATCTTCCCGCAATCCCCATTTCTCCCGTTCCGATCGAGACTACTTTGAAACCCCCAAACACAATTTCCGCCAGACGCCCATCTGATACATCTGAACTTTCCCGACCGAAACCCAAAATGTCGCCAGCACTTGTGGCATTGCTGGTATACACTGTCGGTGTCAAATGTCGCGGAATTAACAAGAAGGAGGAGTATGCCCCAGTGCATATGTTCTCACTGTCTGAGAACGCGGCGAACAAGATGCTGAAGTTTGGGATGATGGACTTGGTGAAGCACACGCGAACGCATATGGTCAGGATCTACCCCAAGGGCACGAGAGTGAGTTCGACGAACTATGAGCCTCATCGATTCTGGTGTGCCGGTGCCCAGCTTGTTGCGATGAATTGGCAAACGTTTGGTATGCTCCCCTTGGTTCAGTTCTTGATGTGACATTGATGACTTCGCTTTTTACATCTGGGGTATATGATTAATCACGCCATGTTCCAGCGGAACGGACGATCTGGGTTCGTGTTGAAGCCTCTTGCGCTTCGTATAGGATCCAAGGACCTTCTTTCAAAGCGTACACAACACCGTTTCGACGTCACTATTATCTCTGCACAACAGCTACCCAGGCCAAAAAACGCCTCAGGGCACGAGATTATGGACAAGTCTGTTATCGATCCATATGTCCAGGTGACGATACACGTCCCTGACTGGCCTTGGGTGGCTCCCGTTCACGGCAGTGCGCGAAAACCGACTCCTGGGGAACTGGCTTCTCCTTCTCAGATGACAACTGGAGCTGGGGGTTTAGGATCCCCATCTACGCCTCGTCGATCGATATCGTGCAGAACGAATGCAGTGAAGAATAATGGGTTTAACCCGGTGTGGGAGGAGAAGTTGCGGATACCGTTTGAGTGTGTGGGTGATATGATGGATTTGGTTTTTGTGAGGTTTGTGGTCAGACGGCAGGAGGACAAGGATCAGGAGGAGCCTCTTGCGGTGTATTGTGCTCCTCTTGGGAGCTTAGAGCATGGTATGTTCTCTCGATATCATCTATATTGCAGGGAGAACTCATGTGGTTGGGCAGGTTATCGACATCTTCCCCTGCATGATTCACAACTGTCTCAGTACCTGTTTTCGACGCTGTTCGTCAAGATCAATGTTACTCTGGTAGAAGTATGATATTTACGATGGACGATTGACTGCTTTTGTGTAATATGAATGTGTATTTGTTAGAGACAAAATGAACCGGGGCGGGGATTCGAACCCCGAGCTGACGCTATGGTATCGCGCGTCAATGTTAGCCATTACACCACACCCAATTCGTTGGACACGAAGGAATATCATTTGAATACCACTCCAATCGCTTGGGGAATGTGTTTCATTTGGCAAGGTAGAATCGTTCAAAATGGTCGTCGTTTGCTGTCTTCATCGACATTGTGATTATAAGCTGATAGTTGGCGCAAATTATGTTCCTCTTGACCTTTTTGAAGCACAAAAGTCACGCGTAATAGATTAGGCGAACCGAAATTATTTTATTCGACCGTGGCCCAACTGGCCATCGTCCATATCCAGTCATGTCGCAGTAGTCTCAATAACGTTGAATTTCGGCATGGAAGGCGCTTTGTGGACTTACAAGCGCCGAAATTGCCAAGAGAATTGCATTGAGCAAGAACAGCGCACGGTCCAACCGTTTGGCGCAGTTGAGCCGAAAGGTTGCACGTTTGATCATCACGACCACCACCACAATACCTTACACTTCACGCTCGTCGCCAGTGCCCAACCGCCAGCACCGTACACACATACGACTACGACAAGCAACTCAACTCTAAATGGAAGGCTGGTCGAAACTCCAATCAAGCTTGGGCAGCATCAACTTTGCTCAAGCTGGCAACAAGTTCAGCAAGGGCTTCAACTCGAGCGTCCAGGCCACCCGTGAGCGTCTAGGACAAATTGCCCCTGACGAGATTACGGAGCTCCCTCAGGGTACGGAAGTCTCTTATCCTCGAGTGAACTGCTGCGGTTCTGACTATCTGTCATAGAGTACAAGGACCTCGAAGCCCGTGTCGACGCTCTGCGTGCAGCACACCTCTCCTTACTCAAGTACGCATATGTTGTTATCCATCTACTCACGCACTCTTAACAACACACCGACAACGCAGGATAACAAAAGTCTACGAATCCGAGACTTACGACTACCCCACCCAAATCCAAGAATCCCTCTCCGAAATCTCCTCTTCAATCGGGTACAACATCACCTCATTCGCAGCTACCAACCTCAAAGGCACCAACCTCCCCGTCCCAGCACCGCCCACCGCCCCACCCGCAGCACCGCACAAAACGCTCCCGCACGCTTTGGTGCGTGCTGCGCATACAGCTGCCACCGCCGTGTCGACCACTGCCCCGTCGGCTGAGACGGACCGTTTGGGAAAGGCGCTGGGCTTGTATGCGCAGGGATGGGAGAGGGTAGCGGGTGCACGGCTTGATCAGGACACGCATATCGCGGACAACTTTTTGCATCCGTGGCAGACGACGTTGAATACGAGTATTGCGGTTGCTTTGAAGGCTAGGCAGGCGGTTAGGTTGAGTAGGCTTGAGTTGGACGCTGCGAAGCAGTCGTATGTTGTTTTTTTTCCTCCTTTTTTGGTTTTTGTGCTGATCAAGGGCGTTTTTGTTGACAGGCTTAAGAACGCTAACCCTGTCAAGCAGGAGCAGGCAAGGCTTGAGGTTGAGAATGCTGAAGATGACCTCGTGCAGAAGACCGAGGTGGCGATTACGCTCATGAAGACGGTTTTAGAGAATGTTTGTCGGTTTTTTTTCTGTATATTTCGCTGTTGCTGATCCTTTTTTTGCTAGCCTGAGCCTATCAAGAACCTCAACGAGTTAATCAAGGCACAACTCTTATACTTCTCCGCTGCAGCCGAAGCTTTGTCCTCTATCCAAGGCGAGATTGAGGAACTCAGCGTAGCAGCTGAGGGCGAATACAGGTGAGCAACCCTTGTTCATTGTGAAACCAGCTTCACTTGCACTCTGTATCTTAATCAGACATGAGACTGACGTGATTGTACTAGGAAGTCCCGCGATCACTGAAGTCCCGCTCAACTAGGCCCGCGTTGAATGCTTGTAGAGAAGAGTATACGATGTTATTGAATCAATCCTTCCCATCCATGCTTAGCCCCCCACCCCGTACGTATATGTATTGGACATCGAACTGCCCCCTTTTCTCGTTTACTTATCTGGTTTCGATTCTCTTGCTACGTATTCGCATGCAATATACGGTTGCCTTTTTCGTAACGGAAGACAGCGCACCCAGGTCTACGATCTCCTGGTTGTTAAGAAGTTCAATCATTACCTCTATAACGGAACTGGGAGTGGTTGTTTGACCTGGACGACTGCGTTGGTGCACCTTCTTGAGACCAAAGGGGTTTTACCTTAAGGTTCTAAGGCGAGCTTTGAGAAAGTGGTGGAGGAAGTTCGCGTTGATCCCGAGTATTGGGTCCCTGGTGAACCTGGTGTACAGTTCTACAATTGAGCAGCGCTCCCGAACTACTTCGCTAGATTACAGTAAACACATGACGGTGTCCCGCAGAATTGAAATTGTACTTAGTAGTTGAAATCCATTTGTTTTGTGAGTGACCAAAGCCGCCGCCCCTGCTGCCGTTGTCGTTGTGGAGCGGAATTTCCTGGTCCGCTTTACAGAGGGAAGTCTGTGCACGCAATTTGTAGTCATTGGTGCGATAAAAAGCTGCGTCAAGAATACATCGCGCGATGGTTACTGAGCCCGAGAGTCAGTTTCTAGGTGGAACTTCAATTCTGCGAAGCACCATAGCATGGTAATATCGTACAAACTAGTAGGTTGAATTTCAGTTCTGCGGAGCACCATAGCATGGTAGTAAAATCATACCTTCATCCAGCCACAACAATACAGTCCCGGATTCATTCATTTAAAGTACAACCCCAGTGACATCCTCCCCAACCACCTTTTCTGCTTGAAATATGGTCCACAAATGAAAGGGACCAGTGCCTTCCAAAACTTGTCGTCCGTTCCACTGATCCTTTTATCCTCATTCTGCCTCTTCATCGCCACGTACTCAAACCACGGCGGATAATATCCTGCCCATGCCCAGTCAATGATCCAAAGGCGGCCATCTTCGCCCACGATGATGTTTCGAAGGTTGAGATCCTGATGTGTCAGAACGAGCGGTTCGGAATTGTCGAACAAGTCGTCCCTCGAGGGGTCATCCCGAGGCAACTTCTTGGCGTCCATCGCCATCTGGTGGCGCTCGTTGAAAAAGGCCGAGAGCTCAGAATACGATGCGAATGGACCGCGGTGAGATTGAACTTGACCAAAAATGGGGGATTCGCATATCCTCGCTCCTTGCGCGCTCAGTGGGCCAGGCGGCGTCGTGGCAGACGCTTTCAGGCGACGGAGCTGACGAACATAGCGGCGCAATGTAAAACCCACATGAATTTTCTGCCACATCGAAAGAGTTGGCCAGACGTGGGCTAGTGTTGGACCTGGGATGTAGTCCATGATCATCAAGAAGTCCCATTGGCATTTCACAACGCGGCGGACGCGCGGGACGGGGATAGTCGTCTCCGCGAACACGAGATTGAGTATGTTCGCTTCTGAGGCATCTGCGGCGTCTTCTTCAAAGTCTTGAGAAGCCTTTGCGACGGTGCCGGGCGTCAGTTTGACAACACCGGCGTCTGGGTCTAATTTGGAACCGTTCTTCCAGAGTTCGAGGATTGTCTCATTGCTAAGCTGGTCAACGTCCGACGGCTGGAGACACATGCACACCGCTATGTGAGCACTTCAGCCTGAGTGGATAGAATATACTCACGATGATGCTACTCTGTGGTCTCTTGTCCGGTATCAGGAATGTCAAGATGACGTCCAGTGCATCTGCTATTGCCCCTAGGGAGGTGTAAAACAGCCAATTTCGTGTTCCTTCAGGTGTAGCCATTGAAGTTTGAAGTGAATGCGTTGGATAGTTGAGGGACTTGACTCGGAAAGTGAGTCAGTTATAAGGATAGAGACGAGTATATTAATGTATTGGACATCGAACTCCCCCTTTTTCGTTTACTTATCTGGTTTCGATTCTCTTGCTACGTATTCGCGTGCAGTATACATATGGCTGTCTTTTTCGTAACGAAGAAAGCGCATGGTGTTAAGTGGACTTTGCGGTTGTACGAAGGAGTAATGAAGTTACAAATCCAAATCAGCTCCTTGGACGCCTTTCCAGACTTCTGGGTCCCTCAATCAAGACATTGTTGAACGGTCCGCCGAGGTTGCCCTCTCCGTTACTCATCAGTGGCTGCAGCGATAACGCAAGGTCAGCGAAGGGATCCAGCAAGGAGATAGCGCGCCGTTAGGTTTATAGTATGCCGACAGTTAACTTCATTGCCACTGTGTTGTTGTTGGTATAAACATGAAACTTGAGAGCAGGTTTTTCTAATATCAGACTTGCCTGCAGAGGTGGTCTCCGCGTCGTTGGAGAGTAGTCGCTTTTTTTTTTCCTTGAAGGACAGGTGCTGACAGGGCCGTCAACTTTGATATGATTTCAGCCTTATAATTTGGATAGTAGGTGACAGGAAAAAACATAATACCCCACGGTGCTCTGTCAGGCGGTACAATTCCTCCTGGCTCGAGGAACCTCCGCATGTCAATCACATATGTCGCGCTCTTGTCCTGATTGAATCGGCGCTCGATCGCTTCCACTGCGTCTAACCGACATATCGCCTCCATTATCCACCCAGAATCCATCGCCTGCCCAACCAACTACCGCTCCCTCCATGCCTCTCTATATGGCGCCGGTTTACCCTTTCTCCGCACAATCCTCACATTGCAATCCTTCGCCCGTTCAATGTCATCCGGATGCTTCTGGCGGGTTGCTTGATATTGCCATGGAGCTGAAAGAACCATCATATACCCTTCCCGTGGATGATGAAGGAGGAGAGATAATGAGCACATGACGGACAAGCGTCTCTCGCGTCGTTGAGAGGCATAAACCATGACCTTGTATCTTGTAGTAGTTGACAAAGAGGGAATGCGAGAAAGTGAGTCGGGTTTTGCATAATTCCCACGATATTCATGGGTGTCGAACAACAAGGAGAACCTCGACCAATCCATCGTCCACGCCATTGATCCCGGCGCGACACACACATGCGTCCGTGTCGTCTGAAGGGCCCTCCCAACTATCGACATCATTCGGAAGGATACTGAAATAGGCCGGGAGCATACTTGGCTTCGGCACCCAATGAGAGGTAGTGGGGGAGTAGTCAGGATTGAGAGGTGCCGACACGATACCGGTGCATAAAGGGGCGGAATTTAAGGAAGCTGCCAAGGTCGGCTGTCGTTAACCGCTGGTTTCGTCAACGAGAAGGAGTGGGTGAATGTGGGCGTGCAAGAGATCGCGCTCGGACTTGGGAAGTAGCTAGATATGCAGAGTCATCTGCGACAACTTGCTGCACGAACTCGTACGGGAAAGATGCGGAATTCAACTAAACTGTAAACTTGAAGCACCCCACATCACAATACGTGCCATACAGAGCCAGTATGCAAAAGAGTCGAGCCCACCTTCCGAAAAGGGTGAACGTTTGAACGCCATCTCTGGACAAGAAAAACGAAGACGAGGGAGCAAGGAGGACAGGCACGTGGTTAATTAAGGGATGTAAAAATAAACCAAAACATGTGTTCACCTCGTGGCATGATTTGGGGGTCCTGGCGGCGCCCAGGCGCTCTCCTTTCCTTCCTCCCCTCATCCTGAACCTCTCCACCTTCAGTATCTCAACATGAGCGAAGCGAGCGTTTTTGCGGGTGCCCACCACTTTGTTGCTAGCAACAACACGATCTATGCCGCGAACACTGTGCGTAGAAGGGTTATCATGTAAAGTTATTAGTGAACCAATCTGATAGAGTGCGTCTCGGGCAGATCCACATCGACAACAACAATTATGGGAATAGGACGACATCTGATGGGGTCGTTACCCTCATGCCAAATCCAAGCAATCGATTCACAGGGCGGACAGATGTCATCGCCAAACTCAAGAGTCATTTTTTCAACACAACTGACTCTGCTCAGAAGAGAAAGCTCTTTCTGTTGCATGGGATGGGCGGTATCGGAAAGACTCAGATTTGCTTGAAGTTTGTTGAGGAAATGTCTGACTGGTGAGTACCACCAAAGAGGCATATCCAACTCTCATTTTTAAAATTTCAATTGCCTTCAGTTTCTCTTCTGTTTTCTGGATTGACGCTTCCTCAGTTGGCACTATCACACAGGCACTCAAGGGTATCTGTAATCTTCCTGCAGCCCAGTCTAGTAGACTGGATGGCTCACCTGAATCTGCTCTTCGCTGGATTGGCTTCCTGAAAGAGAACTATGTATTAATCTTTGACAATGCTGATGCTGTATCACCTGCTGAGCTGGAGGCTTATCTTCCACCTGGAAGGGGGGGAAACATTCTGATAACTAGTCGCAACTCCAACATGAGGAATTTGACTTCACCTGTGAATTCTCTTGAAGTAACTGAGATGGAGGAGGATGATAACATTGAATTACTTTTAAAAGCCTGCTGCTTGGATCCATCTTCAATGGAGTTTCGACCTGAAGCTTCTAAGATTGTGAAGGAGCTCTTCTGTCTTCCCCTTGCTATTGATCAGGCTGGTGCTTACATTGCTTCTGGAGCCACCACTATTGGAAACTATCTTGTAAAATATTTTGAGCATAAAGAAACATTATTATCCCATTCTGAATTTACTGGAGCTTCTAAGTATAACAGAACTGTTTATGAAACTTGGGAGCTATCATACAAAGAAATTCGACAAAGGGTGGAATCTGATGATTCTCATAAGGCTGATGCAGCAAATAGTGCAATATTCCTTTTGGACTTATTTCCTTTCTTCCACCATGAGGGAATCACTGAGGAAATATTTTTTTATGCTGCTCTTCAAACATATGAAACAACCAGTATTGCTGAATTGCCACTTGCCAGTTCTATGCTAAATAGGAGACTGCTTCCTCTGAATAAGGCAGGCATGTGGGATAATTTTCTTTTTGGAGAAGGCATTCGAGTATTGCTGTCCTTCTCCCTGATAAAAAAAGGGCCATCTGATGGTGTGTATGCAATGCATCCACTGGTCCATGCCTGGGGGAGAGACAGAATGACATTGGATGAGAGGAAACAATGTTGCTTAATGGCATATGTTACTTTGTCTTGTTCTTTAAGATGGGATAAATGCCAGCCATATCGATTCCAGAGGGCTTTGGTAACACATGTGAGAGCAAATATAGAGCATTCCATATTAGAAAGTAACCTGAAGAGCGTCAGTTACTTTGATGATGCTTATGACAAGTTTGGCATCCTGCTGCACAAACAAGGTTATTTGAAGGAGGCAGAAACCTTGCAGATTGAAGTTGTTGATAGAAGGAACAGAATACTTGGAGTGGGATACCCAGACACAATTAATGCAATGGAAAAGCTAGCAATGACATATGCTTCTTTGGGAAAAAACAGGGAGGCAGAGAACATGGTGTTGCAAGTTCTAGATGCAAGAAACAGATTTCTTGGAGTGGAACATCCAGACACAATTGCTGCCATGGCAAATTTAGTGGTAATATATCAAAACTTGGAAAAATACACACAGGCAGAGAAGCTGGGAATGAAAGTTCTGGATGCAAGTTCTGAAATTCTTGGAGTGGAACACCCAGACACAATTGGTGTCATGGCAAATCTAGCACTAACATATACCTCTTTGGGCAAAAACAGGGAGGCAGAGAACATGGGGTTGCAAGTTCTGAATGCAAGAATCAGAATTTTTGGAGTGGAACACCCAGACACAATTAGTGCCATGGCAAATCTAGCAATAACATATACTTCTTTGGGAAAAAACACGGAGGCAGAGAAGCTGGAGAATGCAAGTTCTGGATGCAAGAACTGGAATTCTTGGAGCGGAACATCCAGACACGATTGGTGCCATGGCAAATCTAGCAATAACATATACCTCTTTGGGCAAAAACAGGGAGGCAGAGAAGCTGGGCTTGCAAGTTCTGGATGCAAGAACTGGAATTCTTGGAGTGGAACACCCAGACACAATTGGTGCCATGGCAAATCTAGCACTAACATATACCTCTTTAGGAAAAAACAGGGAGGCAGAGAACATGGGGTTGCAAGTTCTGGTTGCAAGAAACAGAATTTTTGGAGTGGAACACCCAGACACAATTGATGCAATGTCAAATCTAGCAATAACATATACTTCTTTAGGAAGAAACAGGGAGGCAGAGAACATGGGGATGCAAGTTCTGGATGCATGCAAGACCATTCTTGGAGTGGAACACCCAGACACAATCAGAGCCATGGGAAATCTAGCACTAACATATCGAAAGTTTGGAAAATATATGGAGGCAGAGAAATTGGAGAGCCAAGCTTATAAGTTAATGTATAGAGTTTCTGAGGCAGAATCCTATACAATTACCAAACAAGAGATTCAAGTTCTTGATGCACGCAGTACAGTCCCTGGTGAAGAAAACTTGCATTCAACACAGTTTGTTTTGAATCATCCAGCTCAAGCATTTCTTCCAGATGCAACAATAATTTCTGACAGAAAAGGTATCTGTTCTGGTCATTATTTTTTGAACCCCCTCTGATGTTTTTATCCTTAGTCCATCATCTTACCAAACCTGCAAAGAGAGTTTCAAAATTTATATCCAGAATAGCACATTTGTTCAAAAAGAAAGATCTTGATGATGACTTTGCAGGAAATAGTATGTAGTTTACCTACTACAGTGATACCATCCATTGCTTCCCAATTATCTGTGTTTTAACAATGTAATCATGTCTTGATATGCTGTTGAATGATTGTCTTTTGCCTGATTCATAAACATTTTATTCTTTGCTCTTTTGTACTTTATCTCTTTACTTGAATTGAACATTCCTCAATTCCCTTGATTCTCTTTACAATGCTCCCACTAATTTCCACTGTGCCCCAAAATATCTCAGCTTGATGAACTAGTCATAAGTACTGCTAGTGGAACATATTCTCCCTCTGAAACATTGGTGATATGCAGAAAATCTCTGAATTCAAAAGTGCAGTCTGCACTATGTGGCAGGAACTTCTGCTAAGCATGTCACAGGGCTATGCTTCCTCACCACAACATACTGTTCTCACCATACTACCTCTTCATGCAGCCTCATGCACATGCCTAACAATGCCCTCACAAATTATCACAGATTCAAGTATTCATAATGTGTGATGACAATCAATTTCCCCTTCCCTATCAATTCTGTTCAACTCACATGTCAGGATTATCATCAAACTTTCAGTCCTGGAGTCCTGGGCCTGCCTTCTAAATCTTTTCCCACCACCCAGCCCATTCACACTGACATCAGGTCAGGACACACCAAGACTCTTGATAGAGACTGAGGGTGCTACAAAAGCTACTAATGTCACACTCAAGGCAGGGGTGACTAGTCAGCCACATGATAGTATAATGCAGTACTCCATCCTCCTTGACTTCTTGACTGACATGTGTAATTAGATTAATATACTTGTACTGCACTTAGTGTTTGGAAGTCTGGTCAGAGGACTGGAAAAAGACTGTGACCAGATCAGATGACTGATCAAGACCACAAATTATCAGGACTGACAAAGACTGTAACCACAGTCTGGTCTACAGTTCTCTACAAATTCCAAAATTTCAAGACCAAGCAAAAACTGGTTTAACCAGTCAAAGACTGGTCTTTTGAGCCTTCAAATTGTGCCAGGGCCAAACTTAGAGCTTGGAATATACTGCTGTCACATTTGAATTGAAAATTTGAATAGACTGCAGTCTTGACTCTACTATGCCTATTACTACTCGAACAATCGCTAAAGGGATACCACCAAGGCTTCACGATCCCCAGCCAAAGGGTAAGCCATGCATGAGGAAGAGCAACTCAAAATCAGCAACAACACAGAGAAGCCACAAAAGGGCAACAAGGGACTCTGATGATGAGAGCAGCCCTGAACATGACAAATTTTCCTCAACTAGCGACTCTGAGTCAGCACACTGACCCAAGAAGAAAGCTGGCAAGTTTCAGTGTGTCAAGCTTTCAGGTTTGGATGAAGTGGGGGTGGCCGATGATGATGAACAGCCTGGTAAGGATGTTGAGGAAGTGGACAATGGTGTTGATGATGAGCAACCACCTGATGAACAAGAGGTTGGCCCTTATTACCTGATACAAGCTTCATTGACTTGCCATACCCCAGAACAATGGTCTCAATGACCACCAACATGGAGCTGACCTCCAAGAAAAGCCTGTGAAAAAGGAATTGACACTCAAATAGGATGATGGTGTACTGTTTGCAAGTAAGCCATAGCACTACCATTTCACAGAGATGCTTACTTACTGACCAGGGGTGATGAGGCATTCATCAAAGCACATGAGAAGTGCAAGGCCTTCCACAAGGGAGGGGATTCTTCATGTCATGCACATATCTGTCAGCATTACAATCTTTACAAGCAAAAATGCAAAAAGGAAAACATACTGATGAGCCATTGGGCCATACCTCATGATATCTGGGAGACTATGGAGGAGAAGGAGGGCAAAACACAGAGGTTGACTAATGAAGAAGCAGCAGCAACAGCTGTTAGACTTCAAAACTATTACAGGACCATGTGAGTTCACAAGGGAGGCCATGCAGCCACAAAGCTGATTGCAACTAATAACCAAGTAAGTCGTTCTTTGATGTCCTATTCAGATAAATGTCTTGTTATGCACCTATAGCCACTTGCTCTGGCTGATGACCTTGCATTTCGCAATGAGGCCAAAATCAATGACTAATGACCTTCCCAGCTTCTACAACACCAAGATATAGCTCCACAGTGAGTTAACCAAACACATGAAGCTGCTAGAGAAAGAAATAACTATAAGAAGCTCACTTTTTGATGCTTCGGATAATGCTGAGGACTTACCTTAGGCAGCTCCTGGAAAGGTTGTGGAAAGGTGTCAATAACTAAAGATGGATGGTCAGCCAATACAACAAAGGCAGGGTTTCAGGGAATGACTGTACATTGGATTGCAGTGATGGAAGAGAAGTGGAAGTTGAAATTAGCAGTTATTGGGGAGCAAGCTCCCCTTTGTACTGCTAACCGACTCCGAAATGTAGATGATGACCTAATCCACAAGTAGTTGGTCATGTTTACACATTGCACAGCATGGACACCCCATGTGAAACAGCACAGCATGGACACCCCGTGCAAACTTGCTGATATGTGCACGATTCACATGATTGATTACAGTAGTTCCTGTAGTCCTGTCATCCATGTATGCATTGCATGGTAAATTTTGAGTAAATTTGAATTTTCCTTGAGCTATGCCTTCTGACTGGCTGCAAAAAAGGCTGGAAAAAAGTGTGCTGACAATGTTCAAAAATACCAATCACAAGATTCTGGTCAGTTCTATAAATCTTTCTCAACACAAACACTGACCTTCCAGCAGTTGTATTTATCCGATGCAATGAGGACATCTCGATATTGGAATTTCCAGTGTCCGGTGTCCGGTGTCCAGTGTCCGGAATTCAGCATGTGCCGCACATCAACATCAACGTGTCAATTGGTCCTTGGAACAAGGCGCACGACAGGAAATATGAGCAGGTTCATAGCATTATGTAGAATTACTTATATGTTGTATCAAGGTGCATTCTCGTGAACATTGGATCAATGATGCAGTTCCTCACCCAAGGCATCAATGTAGTTATGGCGGGCATAGATGACTTTGCTAGCTTCTGCCCATGTGGACAATGGAACTCCAACTGCAAAGCAGGAGCAATGGATGTGGAGAAGCTCTTCAATGTAGTATAACTGTAAGAGTTGCCCTCGCAGTGTAGCCTGCAAGTCTCTTGCAATGAATGAGCTAAACGACCTCCTTCAACTCTTGAAAGATACTCCTGGTCACTCTGTCACCCTCGTCAAAATATTTCACTTTGTTACCTATGCCATCTCACTCAAAGACGATATTCTCCTTCTCCAGCCTTCTTCTCATCCGCCTTCAGTTGCACCTATGATTCTTCCCCAGGCTGTCAAACAATTTCTTGCCACTGCATGCAACATACCACCCGACATCACTGATGATTGTTGGACCATCTTGAGAACTACGATCTGGAATGATGGAGGTGACTTCACTCAATGTGATATGCAGTCTATCTTTCTTCGGCTGGGTATCCCTTGGGGATATGTATGTCATTTCAGTCAAATATTACTATTTAATAAGTCACCAAATTTTCCAGTACCCCGCACAATATACCCTCCGACCAAGGTATGTTCGAATGAAGACTGCCTGCACACAAGGAAGGGTATGTCACTTCAGAAAGCGGAACAGCGGCAGGCAGTACTATACACGCTTGATAACAGTGTCCTTCCAGTTTGGTCAGTCCACTTCTATTGTCAAGGTTTGTCATGATAAATTATATTTTTGCTCGAAACACCAAGTCACATTTGTTTTAGCATGCAAAATTAATTACCATCACAACTTTTATGTGCAGAATGGTATCCGACACTATTACAGTAGCATCCCGGATATACTACAGGTTGCCGAACACCAATTTGTCAAAAAAAAATTAGTCAACCTTTGGCTCACACTGATGGTGGTTTCTTGGACCTCGGCAACAAACTGTGCATGTTTCTATAATGTTGCACTCCATGGAGATCACCGTGCGTCCCTGGACTGGCAATTTGGATTTACGTTGAACTCAGAGCATGTTTACAATGGCTTCGTCATTCTATCCCTTCTTGAGGACCATGCCCTATGACAAGAAAGCCTTTCCGTGCCTCATGGAGGTCTTGATAAGGACCGTTACAAATTGGCAATGCAGCCTCAGAGCATCCGAATGCAACTTTATAGCCAACCTGAGTTATGGCACTATTGTAAGAAGTGCACTTGATTTCTTGATGACGGTTCGTTCTTTTGGAGCCTTTTGAAATGTCCCCTCATTACGATTACCATTATTCAGGTGCCAAAAAAATCTCTCTCATTGTCATTGATGGCATAACCATTGGACATCCTTGTTGCGCCATTCACAATTGCCACACACCACTTTCAAACAATTGCCATCGTTATTGTGACACACACATAGGCTCTGAAAAGACTTGCACAATAATTGGTTGCAGCGAGAAGGTAGCTTCGAACAAGCGAACTTGCCTTGTTGCAGAACACCAAGCTGTTGAGAAGGTACATAACAAGCAAGGGCAGGCACAATTCCAGTTGCAAGAACGCCTCAAACAGGCATGCGTTGCTTATCCAAGTGATTTGATAGGTGAATCTGTCAATGATGTCTCTCAACTTGCAGATGTCGAAAGCGATGAAGAGTTTGAGCTAGCAAATGGGAAAGTTCTCCCATCGCAGGCTTCTCATACATCATCTGACCCTACCAGAAAGAGGAAGAACCGTCTCTGTGCGCAATTTGGTCAGAAGCGAACACACAATGAACAGGTCATTGTTGCGCCCTGTGGGATGATAATCACACACGAAACTTTCTTTGGTGCTGAGGCAGTTTCCAGTGTGGTTGTATGTTTTTTTTTCGAACTCGTTGGGATTGTGTACTGATATATCTGCTTCAGGAAATGGTCAAGCGAACTTACCACATCCCAGGGACGATGCCAGATCATATATTCTTTGATAACAATTGCCAGCTTGCAAAGATTGTTCAGGGGGACCCTGCCTTCAGAAATGTTGGACTTTCTGTGGATGTATTCCATTTCAAGAGCAAGCATTCCATTACTGATATGTTCTGTCAAATGATGTGCAACCCGGCATCATTTCCAGAACTCAAAGGAGAAGGTGACAAACTGTGGTATTTTAACTCATCAATCGCAGAACAGACCAATGTATGGTTAGGAGGATATCATTCTATTTGTAGGGAGATGCTCATGGATAAGTACAACTTTTTTCTTGACGAAATGATTTTACGTAGGAATAGGATGACAAGGGACAAGCTGATTAAGGAGGGTGCAATGCTGAGTACTTGGCCTATTATTTAGTTTTTAG